TCGGTCGACCGGAGTTCGTGTGGGAATCATGCTGGTCTTACCTGTCGGATGATATATTATATAATCGTCGGAGGGTTTTACAGCACCCAGGTAAACGAATCAATTACTGTCCCATACTTATGTTTTTTTTATTTTTCTCTTATGATCTTTATATTTATAATCTTTCTATATTGTTGTGACAGAATTGGTTTTGAGTGATGATGAAGTAAAGAATCTGGCATTGGCGGAGGTTGAAAAAATTTTGCGCAGACGTGGTACAAGTCTACGCGAATATGGTACAATCCCTTTTCCTAATCTCGATCGTAATGAGGCATCCACAAACAGAATGGTGATGGACGAGTTAAATTACGATCGTCGTGCACTCGCTATTGAGAATCTGGAGTTGGTTGCCAACATGACAGATGAACAGCGAAATGTCTATGACTCGATAATGGACTCTGTTTACCGTACCTACGGCCGCATGTTTTTCGTTTATGGTTACGGCGGCACCGGAAAAACATATGTCTGGAAGGCGTTGTCTTCTGCTTTGAGATCCAAAGGTGAAATTGTGTTGAACGTTGCATCGAGCGGTATTGCATCACTTTTGCTTCCCGGCGGACGCACTGCGCATTCACGATTCAGAATCCCAATAAACCCAATAGAAGGCTCTACATGCGATATTAGCCAGCAGAGTCCTTTGGCCGAACTGATCATACGATGTCGGTTGATCACTTGGGATGAAGCCCCGATGATGAACAAATATTGCTTCCAGGCAGTTGACAACACCTTGCGAGCCTTAATGGAAGCAGTTGATCCATCGAGGAAAAATCTCCCATTTGGCGGCAAGTGTGTTGTGTTAGGTGGCGATTTCAGACAGATACTCCCCGTTGTTCCTAAAGGCAGTCGAAGCAACATAGTTAATGCGACCATCAATTCATCCAAGTTGTGGCGCGATTGTATCGTTCTGAGACTGACTCGGAATATGAGGCTTCGAAGCCTTGGTGGGGGCGATGAGTACAATGAGTTGAGGAACTTCTCTGAGTGGCTTGCAAACATCGGCGACGGTACAGTCGGTGGATCGAACGACGGTTGTGCTGATATTGACATACCCGACGATTTTCTTCTACACTCACAAGAGGATCCTATTGGTACTATTGTCGAGAGTACCTACCCGATGTTTAGGAGTGCAGGTGACGATCTTAGCTATCTGAAGGACAGAGCCATACTCGCTCCCACACTTGATGTGGTTGAGTCCATTAACGAGTACATGAGCTCAATGAACTCATCCGAGGGAAGGACTTACTTGAGTTCGGACACCCCGTGCAAGTCAGATGCTGGATATGATTCTCTTCAGGATCTTCACTCTCCTGAGTTTCTCAATGGGATCAAGTGCTCTGGCCTTCCAAATCACAAATTGCACCTTAAGGTCGCACTCCAGTCATGCTTCTCAGAAACATTGATCACTCAATGGGGTTGTGCAACGGTACTGTTATTCGAATTTCAATTTGTCGTCTTTATTTTGATTTATCTTTATACAAATTTAATTGATATGATTTTGTGTTCTGAGGTTTGATGTCAACAGGTACACGATTGGTTATCACTAAGCTCAGCAGCCATGTCCTCGAATGTAGGATTTTAACCGGTGCCAGAGCTGGTGACAAGGTTCTTATTCCTAGGCTCACAATCATACCATCAGATTTGAGGGTACCGTTCAAATTTCAACGTAGGCAATTTTCGCTCATGGTTTCATATGCTATGACTATCAACAAGAGTCAAGGCCAGTCATTATCACACGTCGGCTTACTGTTGAAGAACCCTGTATTCAGTCATGGACAGTTGTATGTGGCACTATCTAGAGTCACGAATTGGAGGGGACTGAAGATAATGATATGTGGTGATGGAGATTTTGACAATAGGAAAACCACGAATGTTGTATATAAGGAAGTGTTTAATAATATTTAGAATTAATTTTTTTGCTTATTTTTTTCTCAATGATCATGTTATGATTTTTGCAATTGTTTTCTTCTTTTATTTTTTTTTCCTTTTATCATATAGCTTCCCGTGCAAATGCACGGGTAAACAACTAGTTTTATACGTACCCATTGCTTTGGCTAGGAGATATCAACCGTTTCCAAGCAAACTTTTCATCACTGTATGTAGCATTCACCTTCGCCAGTATCATCGGTACCACAACTAGAATGGGCTCAAGTTGCTTCTCCAGTTGTGCATTCCGCATGACACTTGTTTCGCTATCATAGACGCAAATGCATCTCTGCGATAGATCAATCTCTAGTGCGATCCAGTGGCCATTGCCCTCTTTGCAGAAAGGAACATACAACTACGCACAATCAGTCCACGGCTTTGCATTATTGGGTATCTCCCCTGTGGCGTATCTAGTCAAGGCCTTCGGAAATGTCTTAGGAAAAGACATGTCGTTGAAGAAATTTCTCACGTATAAGACAAAAATCGTGTCCAAAACAGCACAATCTTGTCTAAACAAGAGAGGGAACTGTTTAGACCGCTCTCGAATGTGAAAAAGCGCCTCATCTACATGCTAAGAGTATAATGTTTATTAGATTAGTGAATATCACGCTTTTGAAAGGTAAAATATTGAATAAATTTTTGTAAATAGTTTACCTCACTAGAAAGCCATCCATCGTTCACAAGTTTATTAAAAAAATCTTTATTTGTTGTACCACCAGAGGACAATGGAACTACAAGACTACATAAAAAAGAATACATTAAACAAAGAAATACAACCTTATATATTACAATAAGTAGCCCACAATTAAATTTAACACAATTACATACCTTTTAGGGGAGCTCGACAACCAGCTTTGGAGATCTTCAAGTTTAGCAGGATCCACTGGCCTAAAAGGGTCGTACTCTGTCACAATTGTAAATTTTTTTCTTTTTTCCACGTTTCTATTCGGAGTACATAGAACGGCAGCCGGTCTTTTCTTCCGGAACCCTCTCCCCTTAAGAGACTCAACTGGATCGTCTATAACGATTTTCTCTATCTCAGGAGACTCAAGTTGATCGTCTACAACTATTTTCTCTATCTCCATTAGTGTCCCAAGTTGTCTCTCTTGGT